GTCACAGTCTCTTCGCTTCAGTCTCCATGAACTGGTCTTTGCCAATGATTAAGTAATTTTAAAATTTATTTTACATAAGGGAAGATGAGAACAGGGAGAAAAAGAAAACAAAGAGAATTTAGTCAAACTTTTTTACTGTAAAATTGTTTAACAAGTCAAGCATCAAATTCACTGAGAGCATAGCTGTGACATTTGGTAAGGGAAACAGAACTTTCTGCCAAAAACAAATAAAAACCGTTTGCATTTTGAAGGCACTGACTCATCTGGGAAAGAAGCCTCTGCCTGCAGAGAACACAAATCTCTGCACCGGTGCTGAGCACTGGTTAGGTACTGTAGCACTGTAACCAGCATGGCAATGGATAGAGCAACTAAGGTGAAACACTGAAGAAGTCACAGAGCATTTGCCTCTTGATGAAATAAAACTGTCAGTCTCTACCGTTCCATGGGGGAAGATCAGTTAGTAAGACTGCAAGATACAAAAATTACGTATTTCAGCACTGTCTGTTCTTCACAGGCAACTAGAAGAATGGTAAAGCTCAACTCACACTGTTCCTTTACTATAATACAATGCCAAGAAGTAGCAATAATGAAATTTCCTTGTTTTGTTTCTGTTTCTCAACTTGTTAAAAATTTGCACTCCTAGTTTTCTGAAGGATTATTTTTGATGATTCAGATGTCTGCGAGCATCTTCTGTCCCTTATAAGTAGCATGTAGATAAGTGTTTCGCATATTAGACATGATGAATTGAACAGGTGTCTATGTTTTACAAAGTTTGCATAAAAGTCACTCTTTCTTCAGTCAGGTTTCACTTATACAGTATTTGCACTGTCGTAAACCAATTAATGATTCAGTGAGTGAGGAAGAATACGACAAGAAGTTAATAGGAAAAAGAACCCTCTAATACACATGCAAATTGTATGAATTAAATACACATGCTACACATACACAAATAAAACCTGAAAGCTTCAAGTAATACATAAATAAGGACTGTGAAAAGAAACACAAGGGACACCCATTTAATCCCATTGTCCTTGGAGAATCACTTAAATAATATAATTTCTATAATGGAACTATCAACATTTAGGTGCTACAACTGCATCCACGAGCTTTCTTTGTCCAATGATAAGTTTGAAACCTTAAATAAACGTCATTTGGTAGTTATATTAAAGTTTTTTCCTGCAGTCTGGTAACATACAATTCTTCAGTGCTCACTAAAGAAGGAAAAGATCATCAGACATGTAAGTGAATTTTAATAATATGAAGTTTTTTTCGAAGTATCAAGAAATCTAAATGCAGCAGAAAATACAGCAGGAGAACAATTAAAATGTAATTTAATTTTGACCACTTTGAAAATAATTTTCAAAACATGCCATATTTAAGAGCACATTGAAAATACTTTGTCAAAAACACTTTTTCCAAAGACAGTGAAGTAACTATATTTAGACCATTTTACTAGTTTTGCTATGGATGTTCCTTTTCTTTCCAAGGGATCTGTTTCAAAAAAATCACACATGCTGGATATGCAAGTGCAAGGATATATGCTAATAATACTTGAAAGAATCACCACCTCCAGAAAAGTAAAACCTCTAGCATAAACTCATCCTAAAACACAGGGCAACAAGGCTAAGTATCTCAGAGGTTTAGTCATCTAGATTACTTGTTCAAATTCAGTCAAAATTAGGAGTAATGCCTAGTTCACCATTGGCAGGGTAATTGGATAAAACAGTTGGTATGGATCTTGTGTCACACGTATACCAATAAGAGAAGAAAAAAAAAACGTCCATACACGAATTACAACTTTTAACGAGCTCCAAAGGCCTGGAATGCAGGAGAAAACAGTTGTTTTGCACCTATAAATTTTACCATAATTTCATCTGGTATTTCAATATTCACTTTATAGTTATACCATGGGTAGCAGAGATAAACAAATGTAACACTGCTAAGAGAAATCAAGGTTAAATTAACAGGACACTTAAACCATAAATCAGGAGACTTAGAGTCTACCATCTAGGGAGAAAAAAAAAAAAATCAGATTGTGCTCCTATTTCTTTAGGTACAAAACTGATATAATTGTATTTCCTTCTCAAGTCCTTTGAGAACTTTAAGACGAGGGATGCTGTAAGTGTTTGATAGCTATTATTTTGCTGGCAACTGCAGCATGCATGACAGGATGCGGACTAAGCAGGTTTAGAAAATAAAGTTGCACTTTCACATAAATTTTTAGCAGAAGCAGAGCTTTACCAATGTAAACCAGCCAGTCCACTTATCTCCCACCACTTCCTAGTGCCAGCATAATTGTTTGTAAGGCCACACAGAGCGAATCAAGCTAAGGAACTTAACCAGATAAATAGTAACTTTTTTTTTTTTTTTTGCTGAGTTGTTTCTTTTGGCAGCAGTGATGGTTAAGAGCAGTTTGATACGTGAAATTACAATCCTAATTGCTATGAAACCTAATTGCATTGGTCCTCCAGTTCAATGAAGTACAAGAAAGCAAGTATTACTACAGTTCACCTTGCTTTACATATGAACCTCAAAATTCACAAGTCACCTCCTCTTACAGACATCTGCACACATTTTAAAGCAAGGAAGTTTTGACTGCTCAGTAAGAAATCTGCCTCAGTTTTGTACTTCTAACTAGCAAACACAAACCGTATCCAAGGGAACTGATGTCTGTTCCCCCTTGCAGTTTTGTGCCATTATGTGTAAATGATAGAGGTTTGTTAATGCAACTATTTCTACTGATGAAGTTCTCCACTTCCCTAAAGGAGTTAAAAAAATTAGGTTTTCGCTTCTTTTCAAAATATGGGGATAAAGAATTTTCCTCTGTAGGTCAAACTACAATGAAAAAAAACAACTTGTGTTTTTATGGTATAATCATGAAAGCCTGGACTTAAAGCAGGCATTTGAATGAAAACACAGAATGGCTGCATGCAACTGTCAAGAACTTCCAAGTTTTTCTGAGAAAAAAAATACACAGCTTTGTAACAGATCTGTAACACTTCTTCAAAAGTTTTTAGTGTACTTTTAAATACTCGTATTTCCAATTAAGCATCGAATGCCACATTTTAATCTATTTTGGTTCCCTCCTTCATGTACCTATTCTAATAACTTATTTTATACATAATCACAACACTTTATTGCTAAGAGAAAAAAAAAAAATCAAGAATTTGTGAGACATAAAATGAAGTTTGTAGGGCCTTGGTTCAAACAAACAAAAGGAAACTGTTCTTCGGATAACAGGTCATTGAGCCATAAAGCAATTTCCCAAAAGATTCATTTCCAATACTGAAAGTTTACACAGGATGAGGAGAAAACCGGACACTGGAATTAGTAAATAAACACAACCACCTACGGCCAAGGAAGGCTGAGTGGGAAATGACCAGAGGCTAGCCCTGCTTGTTTCCATTCTTACGCTCTGCTGCTATCTCCTTTGACAGGACACAGCTCTTAGTAAGTACCGACATGTCCCAGCTGGCCGCGGTGGCAGCAGCAGCAGCGATTTCGAGGGCACACAAGAGCGACCGGGACGGCTGCCGCTCGCCGGCACCGAGGCGATTCCTGCCGCGCAGCAGGACCCGGCGTCCCAGCGGCCGCCCAGCGCAGGAGCTTCCAGCGCCGGGATAAGCGCTGGGCACACCGACAACCGCGGGCATCGCGGCTCAGCCGGCGGCACCGGGACATCGGCGCTCCCGCCGCCCAGCCCCGGCCGCTCTCGGGCAGCGCCGGTCCCCCCGCGCAGGCCGAGCACCGCCGCGGGGGCGGCCGGACCCTCCCCCGGCGGCAGCATAAAGGCCCGGCCCGGCCCGCCGCCCCTCCCGAGGAGCCGTTCTCCGGCCAGAGAGGAGCCGCCGACTCCGGCGGGGGAACCGGAGACGACACCATCCCCCGCGGCCGCGTCCCGCCCGCTCCCCGTGGGAAGAAAAGGGCCCAGGACCCTCCCCGCTCGGCCGCACCGCAGAAGGCTCGTTATCGCCCCCAACCCGCGGCCGCTCCCCACACCCGCCGCCGCCCCCCCTTCGCCACCGCGGCACAGCGGACCTACCTGCGGCGAGAGGGCGGCGGCGGCAGCAGCAGCAGCGCCCCGGGCCCGGGCGTGGGCGCACGCAGCTCGGCCCCGCCCGCGCGGCGGCGACGACGACCGCCACGGCCCTCCGCGATGCCGGCAGCGGCTCCTCGGTCCCTCCGCCAGCGACCGCCGCCACGGGCCCCTCAGTTCGGCGCCGCCATTTTGTCGGTGCCTCCGCCGCGGAGGGCTTCCCGGATATGGGCAGCTCCCGGCCTGCCTTGCGCGCTCCCTGCACCGCCCCCCCCGCAGCCCCGACCCGGATGGAGCCGGGCGGCCGCCGCCCCCCGCGGACAGGGACCCGGACCCGGGCAAAACAGAAAAAAACAGATTATTCCCCTCTCCGCAACGCCGGGTTTCAGGCACTGCTTTCTTCTCCCGGGGAGGGTAAATACCGATTTTCTAATGGGGAAAAACGGTTCTGCCGAGCCTCCGCGATCCAGTTAACGCCTGAAGGAAGGACCCGGTACGGACCGACGTGTAAGGCGCCAGGAGGGAGAAGCCCCCTCAGTTACCACTCAGGTGCATCCCGACCGCTGGGTTTCGGGCAGTGTCGCATTTCAGACCAACTGGGAAGCAAAATTTAAGATGCTGTAACGGGCGCCCTGGCCCCTCCCTAGACGGCTGTACGGGGCGGGGGCGACAGCCTTGTCCCCAGAGCACCATCCACCTCCTCCCGCCAGGCACACAAATTCAGATCAGGTAAGGTATTCCTATCACAGCGCATCACAAATGCTGGAAGTCATGCACACTCTAAAGTGGTTTTGGTGGAAAATGCCATGTAAAACCTTACAACTTCAGCTGCTGCTGCCCAAATCCCGAGGTTTCCCTCTTTCCATCAGATTGTATGCACAGGATCAGTCCAAATAACTTATTTACCTTCCTGCAGAGATGACAAGTACACCTATTCATATTAATTTAGTAAGTCAGACCAGTATTCTTGCGCAAAACTTTTTATTAAAAAGAGACAGGGTTCTCTGCAACAAAGGGTAGGTACAACACTAATCATAAAATTTAACTTTTCAAAGATTGCAACAGACCAGATGTAAAATTCTGAGTGTGATAAAGACTGTGCCTGAAGTTTAGAAAGTCTTTCTCTCCTGAAAACACAGCCAACATATCTGTTAATTATGACCTCAACTATAAAAAACACTTTCCTGTTGAGTTACCAGCACATTATCAAGATCAAGTTTTAACATGCTGCATCTACAATGAAGCTGTACATAATCCAAAATGTTACTAAAATGGAAAGATTCCCATAGAACCTTTCACATTTCATAGCTTTAACAGTTTTCCTTTCCAAAATGCATGAACTAATATAAGAAGTTTGTTCTCCTCAATATATTAAAAAACTCAGCTTAAAAAACCCCATCTCTCTCAGGTGACATAAAAAAAAAAAAATCAAAGAACCCCGCTGTTTGGCCTTAGAATTAATACTTGAAAAATATCTTTATGGGGGAAAAAAAAAAAAAAAAAACAACAAAACATCGGGGGTTTACCTTTTCTTCATCTGCATATGTGTATTATGGACATCAGTTTACAGCAAGTATCTTGCCCTGGTGGCTACCTTCCAGCTTACCAAAAACAGACAGGCACCAGGGGAGAAACGAGCTTACACGTAAGCTCCCTCAAGTTACCCATTCTGAAGCATCAATAACAAGTGACAGCTGTCAATCTGAGGTACCTTACATTTCTTCTGCAGTACCAGGACCAAGCTCTACACCTCTCCCCCACACACTGATAACAGACTAATGAGTATCATTAAGAATGAACCTGACATTTCCCAGTAGTTCAAGGTCATCAGTACTTCAAAGGGATACTGGAGTCCTTTCATGCAAAAAGTTGTCTGTTGACATAAATAGCCTCTGCATCTGTACCATATACTAGACATGGTCCTAAAACATCTAAACTATTCACAGACAAAGTCTGATTTGGAATTAAGTTGGTGATTTCCATGCGGTCTTTGGTAGGATCGTTGCTTAGCCAGGCACTTACTACAGACTGGTTAATGGTACTGTGGGAAAAACAGGTAGTACTTCTTCCTCCTGAAAGAGAGGGAAAGAGGGAAGAGAGGAACTTAAGTTCCAATTTAGTTTACATATTCTCAGAATTTGGAGAAACACAGTAAGTATGGAACAGACATAAGGGGAATATAATTTTACATTTACATCAGTTTTCAGATTAGTTAACAGGTGTTTTCATCTCCTTGGTAAACTATGAAAAAATAGCTTAAAAAGAATAATGATCAAGTACTTGGACTGATTACAGAAACCTGCTACCAACCGTGTCCTCAGTTAAGACAAATAGGTTCAAACTTCTATGAACTCATCTTGTTGAGCTGTATCTGTGAGTTTTTCTAGCCAGAGACTAAAAGCAAGGACAGAGCTAAGAACAAAAGCCTGTTTATACAGTGTCTTGCTATATTTGGGGCATCAGCTTTACTTTAGTAACGCTTACTCCCTACTGTCCCTTCTCCCTACTTATTCTGCAGCGAGTGGATTTGACTCCAAATTTTTTCCACATAACATTTTACATTCAAACTGAAGTCTCACAGTTTGAGAACTATCATTCAGCATAAAATTAACAACTGGCTGAAGTAGTGCTAAAGACTTATATATAATATACCTGAAAGCATGCAGAGTGTAACTTGAATTGGTTTTCCTGTTGTTTCCCTATATAGAACAGAGCTTTGAACGGCAACTTTGAGACTAAAGGCAGCAGATGACATCTGAAAGTTTCCCCACTACTTAGTATGAAGCAGCAAGCAATTAAACAGTCTTTGTGACCACAATGTGAAAATAAATGTTTATATTAAGTTAGTATCTTATCTTTATTTAAAATCCTGCCATGATACAAAGGGACCCAGTTTCATTCATTCTAAGTTCCAATTATGCCCTTGAATAGTCCATTAATTCCCCGATCCTATTAACATATTAATTATTTTGGTATTATAACATTCTGTATATCTCCCTCAGAGACTCAGATAGCAATGTGTCATTTAGGCTGCCTTCACATCTTTTCTATATACAGATTATCATTTTAAGTGAACATAATCTATCTTTGAAATACTAGATGTGCCCTTTCACACACAGGACAGAGTACAGCAGATTAAAAAAAAAAAAAAAAGCAGACCACAAAAAACTCACACAACAGTTAGCCTTGTAAATAGTTTTCCTGAAGTGCCTATGAGGGCCTTCTTTCTAAGAAAAGAAATCAGCTTTTCATTTTCTCTGTTAAGATTGTGCTATTAACTGGGTCATGTGAAAACAGTGACTTACTTATGTTGCCAACTGACAAATTCAATGCAGATTGACTTCAAACATCCTTACCTTGATGAAGAAAAGATGTTTTTTCAGCTATGTCTGTGGAAGTATCCCAGTGCCAAAGAGATCCATCTTCAGAACATGTAAATAAGTGATCGGGGTTGGAGGGATGGAAGTGAACTTCCCACACTGAATGTACCAAGCCAAAATCAGAACAAAACCACTTCAGAACAAGTATTAAGTACTTCGCTCAGTGCACTGTTACTAGTACTATATGGACATGCACTTACAAGAACCCAGTCCCCCACCAAAACCTTACATTCTTAAGTGTGTGTGGGTAGGAGACCCAAAACTCTACCCTTAGTTATTTACTGCAGTTTTCCCTCCCCTGGGAGAGAAAAAAAAAAAAAAAAAAAAAAAAAGAGAACTATTTTGTTGCATTTTCAGTATGGTAAAAATTGTTAAAGATCAAAATCTTATCTGAATTCAGGCATTCTGAATGACATCTTTCTCATGACATCTTCCCTACTATTTAGTCTAAATCTGCACACAGCATGCTTTCTTTCCCAGCATACACATTACTGTTTTGTGTCTAAATACAACTGTGGAAGAGATATTTAAGTCAGTAAAACTTAACATCAAGAAATATTTTTACTCCTTAAGTATAACTGTGGCATCAAGTCAAGGAATTTTCAGCACAAAATTAATTGCTAACTTGTTCATCTGAAGTCACCAGGGAGGTGAGCTGTTTCAGAATTGTGGAGGCACCAAATGGATCTGTACCATCTTCAGTTTCCCCTCCTTCCTCACGTTTTCAAGTTTGTTAGTAACTGCATTCTTGCCTTACTATACCTGCATACCATAGCATCAATTTCTATGACTATTAATATATCTACCCTTCTAGAAACACAGCCATTCTGATTAAATGCATCCAATGACTCATTAAAGAACTGCTTACTAATTCTAATTTTTGTTTAGATAGAGCTGGCTTTTAGATAAAAAGTCTCATATACAGAGAAGGCACAAACTGAAGCCAACTGGATAAAGTCACGTGAAGCAGCAACTATGTGATTGTTTTCTATCATAGCTACAACACAATTTTTCACATAAATTAGTAAGTTTTCTAAAATGCCACCTTCTTCTCCCCCTTCCATTTCAGATACTTACTTTCTGCTTCATGAGCATTTAGGAGGGACACTGGCATAGTACCTTGCCTGATGTCCCATACACTCAGCATCCCATCCTGGCCCCCTGTGGCCACAATGTGCTGCTGATTGGGATGCCTGTCCACACAGTGCAGCGGAACTCTGTCACCTGTCCTGCAAAAGAGAAGAAAAAAACAAAACAAACTTGAATTGTTTATTCAGCTGCTATTTTCTCCTTCTTTATCTCTAGGAGCGTTGATGAACAAGGTAGCAGTATGGGCTGCAGCTTTCATTCCCACAGCATCCTGTCACTGCAGGCTGACGCCACATGACACCTGCTGGAAATGAGAGGTATGGCAATAACAGGAACCTACAGTTGGATCAGCATCAGGTTCGGTGCCCTAGGGTATGCAGGCATCTACACAGTACCAGACAGCTTTACAGGAGTGAGAAAACCTTGCATACAGACAACACTAAGCACACCTACAATAGTAAGGTTACTCTGAAATTCATGTTATAGTTGCTGTTTCAACATATACTAGGAGTTAGAAAGGGAGACTGGGCACTAACAAAACCAGGTACCTCAACAACCACAGCCAATTAACAGCAATGGGAATTATTCCACAGACAACAGGATTTGAATCTAGCTCAGCTTGTTTTCTCACAATATCTTAAAAGGCACAAAGCTGTCATTCAAATACATTTCAAATGCCAGAAACTGTATATTAGGTCTGTGGAGAAAACCAGATGTACAGTATATTTAATTAGGGAAAGAGTTTTCAGCTGAAGGTTGTTTCTTTTTCCTTAAAAAAAGAGCAAGTCTGCAGATGCAAAAGTCATTCAAGAGTTAAATCATGAAACAGACCACCTAAATAGAATGCTCAACCACAGCAATATTTTTTATTTTGATTGCTTAAATACCAAAGAAGTTAAAAACCTTTAAAAAAATAATTTATCACCCCACTGTCCAGAACGTATCAAGAAATATTTATATCAGTTTATAAAAAGTAGAACATGCTTCTCATTAAATATGTAAAAAAAAAAAAAAATTGGTCTTACAAAGAAAATATTTGAGACGGCTCATTTCTTTGGTGTCTGAGGTCCCATATTTTTAACTGTCCAATTGAATTTACTGTCAAGATCTCCGTTGTGCGAAGGAAAGTCACTGCATGGAGTGTACTGCTGTCTGCATTGTCTGCAAGAGAGATAAGGAAATCATTTAGGTAAACCTACAGAATGCTAGTCTCCATTTAATTATGACAAAATAACTCTTTTTAGAAAACACAGCTGCTTAAACACGGTTACAACTTCTCTGCATTTTCAAGGGCAGAGACAGACCAGTGTAATGAAATTTTAAGTATTGCAAGGGTAGCCTGTGAAAAAGGAGCCTTTCCTTCCTTTATCAAATACTAGCGAGACAAAACTGAAAGAAGCTATATTTAATTAGCTCCGGTGCTTACAGTACTACTTATTGATCCATAAGATTTCTTTCTATAGTTCCTAAGAAGAAAAATCAATTTAGCCAGGTCTATGGTTTTTCTAAGTTTTCTTTATATGCTCTGCATCTACTAATAGGAGGCAAAGCTATGGAGCTTTTCATAATGCAGTTCTTTTGAACACCAGAAACAGTAACTCTGGCTGAGAACATTAAGCAGTTTTAAACAGAAGCCCTTAATTCACCAACTTTTAGACAATTTCCAAGAACTGACAATGCGATAGCGATCCCTGTCCTTAAAGCCAAACCAGAATTATGCTTTGCTTGTTAATCTTAAGTAAATGGCAAACCTCTTTTTTGAGGTCCTTTTCTCAGTACTTCTTTTGGTCAGAATGATTTACAATGTCAAACACTTCACAGCATTGAGGTGAAACTTTTGAGGCTTTAGGAGAGAATAATATAGACACCGTATTCTTACATTTTAATTCTGTTATTGTATATACAGTTTTCAGCTTTATTATGATGGGGTAACATTGTTAAATCTACTTTCACCTCAAGTATTTTAAAGTTCTTTGGTAAGTCCATACTGAAAATACAGGTGAAATTTTTGCTGCGTAAAATGCATAATTTTTCTGATATTGAGACAGACAAATCTCATTGATGGCTGGTTACAGATATCTGAGTGCGTTTCCTTTTCTGCCTAGTATTTAAAGGAAAGCTGAGGAGAAAAAAAAAAAAGGCAAAAAAAAAGCCCCAAAACACCTTTAAAAAGAAACGTTAGATTACTGAACACTTAAGTTCTAAATGATTTAACATTTTGTGACAGAACAACATTAAGTTATTTAGCAATGGTACATCTTTATGGCTCCAAAAGATTTTTATATCATTTCTAGCCTTGGAGATTTTTTCCTACCGCAATTGACTAAACGCATATCAGCTTGTATTATACTCTTAAAACCATTAAATAACAAAAATAGCAAGATACTCTTTTACAAGTATTTCATGAGGTACAGGAGTTCTATCTTCATGTGAAAACATGCTGAAGGTTCAGCTCAGCACCTGGGAAACGCCAAGATGTCATTGAATTGGGACCCAGTACAAAGGATTGTGTACGCTATAGAGCTACATCCTGAAGAACTTGAAAGCATCTGCCAAGATGTTCTCTTCCCTCTCTCCAAATTTCACTGTAAAACAATCTCTAGTCAATGAGTTTGTGCTAGGCCCTTCCACATCACTTCAGGTAAGCTTCACTTACCAGGTCATACGTATGGCCTACTTATTTATGGACCATTCCTATTTTAACATTTCCCTTCCCATTTTCAAAAGGACATTTCTTAATTAATTCACATGTGGTTTCTTAAATGTTTGTGCTAGCAAATCTCAATGCAGAGTCTTACTGCAGCATAACACTGGCTGATACTACCACTACAAAGCAAGCATTTTTTACACAGTATTATCAAGTGAGCACTAAGAAAACCAACAACTTAACATCTTGTACATTATTAAATCTGTATGTAAGCATCTAAACAATTACTCAGAGAAAAATACAGATTCTTCTGTGGACATCTCCTTCGAGTCACCAAAACATTCTACTCTATTGAACTTGTACCAGAACGCTCTGTGTTAATATCTGTATACAAGTAAAAATTTTAAAATATAATGAGTTTAAAAGGATCATTTATGTTCTCACCCATCAGAGGGGAAGTTACTGTGTTTTGTCTGCATATGCTAAAAAAAAAAAAAAAAAGTAGCAGGGCGTGAGGCAGATTCTTTAAAGCACAGACAGATTTCCTGCAGGAATTTTCTAGGACTGTATGCAATTAATAGGGTTTATCTTGTGTGTGTATATACAGCCTTGCACACACAAGTACCCCCCCTAGAAATCCCAGAGCACTTCCTTAATTGGCTTATCACTGTGTAAATTCCTTCATTTGTTAGAGGCAAGGAGAAACACAGGTGCTGGGTCAAGCCGATGTTTCAGGGAGAAAGTCCTGGTTTAATAATGCCACTATCAAACATGGTGTTACTGTCCTTTAAATTATTTCTTCATTTATGTTTCATTTCCAACAGATGCTACAAACTTGTTCTCTATTTCCATGAGACTAGCACAATAGAAGAGTTGATAATAACCAAGTTTAGACACCTTTCACAAACTTCCTACTCTATCACGTGATCTATTACCCTAGGAAATATGGAGCTTTTTCACTACAGGAGAAATGATCCCTGTAAGCCATGGTATCTGGAAGAACAGGGTACAAATAGTGGGTTCTGGGTCTTGTGTTCCCTTAGACACAAAGAAAGAGACGATTCTGAATATGGACACTATGAGGGTTAATCTCAGTACAGATAGCAAATTGAAATGACCATTTCACTGACGTCCAGTTATGAAGAACCTGGGACACAATACTTCTTGAAATCTAACCTTATTTCATGTATACTGTCATAGCATTTATCAATTCTAGGTGAGACAGAAGCCTACAGAAAATGTTGGGCTTGAAACTTCATCAGTTAAAACATTATCTTGCAAATATCTGAATGAATATAGAAATACATCTGAAATACACTTCAAGTATCTGAAATCTGGAGGAATACAGGAATAATCTGGAGCAAAACACATTCAACTTGGAATATTTAGTTCAATTCTCAACTGACTTCACCTTTTTTTTTTGGTGATGATTTGAGAAGCTAAAAACCAAACCAACCGCTCCTAGCTAAACTAATTTGAACAGTTATTTGACATACCTATAGTTCTTACTGCATCCTTCTGGTCAACTCTGAAGAGATTTATTCTACCATCTTCTCCAACAGTGACAATTTCTGGGTTGTTGCAGATGACTCCAGTACATGCTGCTCCACCACAAGATGTGTCTTGATCCACATGATAATGGGCTTTCTCCCACCACTGGTTGGCAGATAAAGTCTAAGTAGCAACCAGACATGAAATTCTGCTGTTAAATAACGATGCTGATAGATCAAAGCTTCCAGAATACTCACAAAATCAGAAACAAGCTCCAGGAAAGCCAAACTACCTCACAGGAATGAGAATCTCCTGTACAAGTAAGAGTCAGTCTTGAGCAGACAACCCTTCAATGAAACATGGACTACTTATTCTATGAACTGCATTTTTCACGAGCTAGAAATCAGAGAGAACACAATCTATTTATGAAATGTCTTACACTAGACTTGTTCCTTCAATCTTTCCCCAAGTCAAAGGAAAAGAGCTGAGGCCTTCACGAAATATAAGGTCAGATTCAAATTTTGCTTGCAAGGAATTTAGTTTATTTTAGGCACCACATCAAACTATTAACAGATACTAGTCTTATTTGTGTCATTGTGAATATGTAAAATGGTCATTATGCATTTATTTTCAGTGATTTATCAAAGCAAAAGACTACCGAGTTTACAAATCTTACCTCACATGACATTTGTGAGAAGGAATTCAATACAAGTCATTTAGTTCAAGAATGCAGAAACTCTAATAAGGCAGGTACAGGTCCATTACTACCCACTCCCCCAAAACAATCTAAACTCTTAAAGTATGTTTTCACTAAATGGAGTGTTTGGTTACAGATGCATACTAACTCATACCCCAGTCTATCTGGCTCTGGAATCTAATTTTTGTAGTATGTGTGCAAAATGCTTTCTTCTTTCCTCATATATATAAAGCCAAAGCTCTTTCTATCAGCCTTCAAAAAGTTTATTTTGGTACGCAGATGTTTCTTGCCTTAGTAGTTTTGAGAAACCTTATGCTAAGATCAAAGTGGCCTGTATTATACAGAGTAGCAGCTTAAAGCCAGTGCAAGTTACCTACGTGGTTATTTTGATGATGACGGAATACAGTTACAGTTCCTGTTGATGAAGCAGCCACAATTCTCTCTTGATCCAAGAACTAAAGGGAGATAATAAACATGCTATTAGTTGATGTCAATACTGAGATGATCATTTAGATTTTAGAGTAATGTATGTTATTGATAGGTGTAGTAAAAAAACCCAAACAAAACAAATGCACAAACTGATACTGGTTGGTTTTGCCCTTTGCAAGATTTTTTTTGTGTGCACCTTGGCATTTTGGCAGCTGGCTATCACTTAATTTTTCCTATGTGACAAGCCCTTAAAAAATATGGATCTGTTTAACTCGTCTGTTTTACCTGCATGTCCATAACATCACCGTTGTGTCTGATGTCACACAGCAGCTGAGGTTCTCCTTGATATTCCCCATGGAGGCCCACATTTCCAAAATCTCCAACAGACCAAATGGAGATCCTGTTATCCTGTACGGAAATTACACCACCGGGTTTACTCGAGAATGCTTTGGAAACTATCTTAACGGCAAGCCAGCCCCAATGTCACGGCCTTCCCGCCACAGCCAGGGAAACAGGCCGCGCTCCGCTCCCGAAGGAAGGATAACCCTGCCGGGCGGCGGGGCAGCCCCCGGCCTCCTCAGGGAAGCGACCCAAGGGAGGACCGGGCGGGGCAGCGCCCACGGCAGGCTCCGGCCCCGCTCTCCCACGCGAAGCGGCGGAGGCTCAGGGGGCCGAGGGGGGCACAGGACGCGCCGCGCCCCCGAGCCCGCCCGCCCGCTACCTCGTTGTCCCAGGAGCCGGTGGCGAAGAGGTCGGGGGGCTTGAGCGCGGCGGCGGACAGGGGCCGCCAGCGCGTCTTGCTGATCTTCTGCGACACAAACTTAGCGCACACGTCCTCCATGGCCGCCCCCGCCGCGCGCCGGCTCCCGCCGCTGCCGCCCGCCCCGCCGCGCGCCTGCTGATTGGCTGCGGCGCGACGGCGAGCGCCGAGGGACAGGCCGGGCCGGGCCGGGTCGGGCCGGGGCGGGGGGCGGCGGCAGCCCGGCCCCGCTGGATGCGGCGGCCGCGCGGCGCCAGCTGCCGGCGTTTAGCGAGGCGGACAGGCCGGAACGGGCCGCGCCCCACCAGCCCCCGGCCGTTCGCTAACAGGCAGCCGAGGGAAACGGCGCCGCACCGCTGCGGGGGTGCCCCGCCCTGCCAGCCCGGGCCTCGCCAAGGCGGGCGGCGAGCCGCTAAACCGGCGCGTGTCGCCCAGGCTTTATTTGGAGAATCGGGCCCGGGAGAGGAAGCGGTGAGGAGGTGAAGGGTCCCGGTGCGCTTACCTGCCTGCTCAGCTGGGCCGCGTCCCCCCCCCCGAGCGCCGCGCGTAGGTACCATTTCTGCAAGGTCGCCAGCCCTCGCGTTCTCAAAATTGGTGACTTTTACAGCAGCTAACCATCTCTGGTCTAGATTTGCTTTTAAAGATCTGCGAGTGATGCTCTCCTCCCTCTTCCAGATGCCTACCTGTACAGAAGGTACAACAATGACTTTTTCGTCCCAAAGAGCCCGATAAATCAAACAAGGGAACGTACATACTTCCTTTATCGTATTTCACTTGAGATCTAAACAACTGTGATAAAAAGTTCAGAGGTCAGTTGTAAAATGAGCTGAAAGCCGACATAGCTACGCTGTCACTTCAGAGGATGGGACTGTTTGTCCAGCCACTGCAGTGCAGTAAGGGACATTCGCACAAGCACTTTCCTACTTTTACAACCTGATTTTCTGTTGCATTTTTTTCAAAGCTGTCGCTGCCAGCTCTCTGAGGTTCTGTCAAGTGGGCTTACCAGCATTAGCAGCAGGGGCTCCATCAAACTTTCACCTGTGTTATTACAGTTTGCCTGCTAAAGCCATCTGTCAGATTTTTTTCTACACAGCATTCCGGAGTTCGTCATCAAGTCTGCTATGCTGTTTTGTAATCCTTTAGATATGATACTAAATCAGTGATATTTTATATGCTTTATGTATCGTTTGAACTTCAATTGTGGGGAACATTTTTTTTTCATAATTGTGTACAGCAGAATCCCACACTCAACATACTCAAAAAGCTAGATGCTGTTGTAATCTACCATACTGCAAGCCTTAAAACAGCTTTGCTGCATGCCGCAGCAGCATTATTATTCTACAGGAGCCAATACCTCTGGCACCCTGTATTAAGCTGCTAGCAGCAATCCTGCAAGTCACTGTCAACTCCAAAGGTATTTTCAGCTAATTCTCATAACACTTGTGAGAAAGGTCAATAGTCAGCCTCAGAATACAGCTACAGACCAGATAGCTAAAAGTGGAAGAGAAAACATTTTGGGATTATTGAAATGTATTCTTAGGCAAATATTTTTGTTGGTTACTTTGTGATTTCTGTGTGTATTTTTTATTTTGTGTTCTTGAATGGTTTCCTTCTTTGCTCGGGATTGCTTGTTCAAAAGCATTTGGGAAGTATTAAGGGGAGTAGGTTGGATATAGAGGCTTATTTTCATTAAGAGAGAAAGAATCACTGTTTTTCTTCCCTGTCTTATGTTTTTTTTTTTTTTAAGAAAATGTTGTCAGCATGCTATGTAATGGAGGTGAGAGGTGTGATGGATTTAGAGCAGCTCTGTAAACCTTTATATATATTCTCTGTGTTTGATCACTATGAAAGATGTATGCTGTGTTAGTATGTTGTTTCAGTGTAATAACAGATTCAAGTAAACAAATAAAAGGGGGAAACAAACACTGGGAGAAAATATGCCCCATCAAATATTTCTGAGGTTGTCAAAAAGGACATTAAGTCTAGACAAAGCTGACTGGGCATTTGGTCCAAACATAATAGCTGAGACAACAAGGAGCATCTATGGACCATCCTTAATTATGGCTAAAGCTAGGAGTGTATGTGGAGGGGAAGAAAACTGAAAGCATGCCTGTCTCTCTGCCAGGGGTTAGGGGGCCTGGGAATGAAGGCACGCGCTAGATCACTGGATGTACTAGGGCAGGATGAAGCTAATTCTGAACTCTATTTGCTTATAATCTGCTTTCTTCCAATTGCTATTCAACAATGTTTCAAGAAAGTTATTTGGAGATGCCAAAATAATGTTTACTGCTGGTCATAACTCCTGGAGTTGTGCCCCGTTCGATCTCTTGAAGAAGCGCAGTCGCTCTGCAGAGTACTGCAGAGCAGGTAGACGAGCAGGGTGCCGGGGCCCTGCGTGCATTCCTAAGCCTTCCGTGCCCTCACCTGGGGCACGTGCTCCTGGCCTGAGCTGTGTTGTAGGAGGGCCTGTGCCCAGCCATGTCCCTGACCTGGTGACTGGCTTGACTTGGGGCCTGACTTGTCACTTTGCTTTCACTCAGTGGCAAAACAATTACTATCCCCAGCTCTGCTCTGCTTGCCTTGCTCGGACACCGTGGGATGGTGTGCTCCTGTGTGGTGCTGTCATCCCTGGCTCCAGGCTCTCCTTCCCTCACGGAGGGGTCCCAGTCCTGCTGCTCCCTAATGCGGAAAGTCACTGATGTGCCTGGGTCCTTCTCGCCTCCTCTCTGAATGCAGGGCTGGGAAAAGAGAGATTCCAAGTTCAAAATAATGTAAACTTACGAAATGGAAATACAAAATGAAGGTCCACACCAAACTGCCTTGAGGTTACAGGAAAAGAGATGAGATGAAGGAGAGTGATTAAGTTAAAAGCAGAATGGAGGCAGGGAGAGGAGTGAGTGTAAGTGTAGAAGCCAATTAGCGTGGGGTTTGGGACATAACTGTGGAAATGTTCAGCAGGAACATTTCACAAGGAAATTTCTGCGTGTGCTATGTATATGCAGAAGCAGATGGGATCAGACAGTGATGATCAACTTTTCACATGCTTTTAAATTCAAAGAATTTAAAAAATCTAATGGGTTCATGCGGTGGGAGGGAAGGAATGAAACAGAAATAGTAGCACGGAAGGGTTTATATATAAATGTACATAAGTACAGCTATGGGATTGAGATGTGGGTGAATGTGTGGAAGAGGAGAGAGATCCGACATGCTTACAATTAGTGGGATCTCTATGTCAGAACAATCAAATGATGGCCCACTCTGGCTGCTGGCGTTCCCGTGCCTCTTCCTTAGTAGGGCCGTCCATGCAACAGCTCCCCAGAGTCTAGGGAGCTGTACCCGTGGAAGATGGAGGTGCCTGCAACTGACAGTGAGCATCCAGGGACCAAGGTGCTCACACTGGTTTGGACAAGTGAGGAGGAAGAGGATACAGGAATGCTGAGTGTCAGAGCAGATGGAGGAGTTCCACCTGAATGCTGATGGCCAGAAAACATTTTTTTTTTTAATTTCTGCCTTTTACTCTAGTGTAGAATGCCTATGTTCTTTTTTAGTTTTATCTTAATGGATATGCTCTTAATAAGTTTAAAAAATGGACTCATGGCCTGGGATTATAGAGCAGAAAGAGGTAGGGACCCTCATGTTTGTTTACTGCACAGATAGGTGCATCCTTTCACTATTGGTGCATGTTAATTTCTCAGGGCTCTCTGAGGCAACTTGGCTTGTCTTAATGCTCCCGGAAACCTGCAGAGCCAAATGTTTCCTTCACACATGGCTGGTATCCATCCGGGACACCCCAGATATCGCTTAGGAAGGCTCACACTTATATTGTCATTCATTCTCTGAATAGTCATGCTGAGGAAGCAGCTGAGAGGTGGCCAATATGTACATCCAGTCCAAAAGTGCCTGTCTGCAGGTTCCTAGGAGGTAAAGGTGGGCTCTTCGTGCTCTGTGACAAATTTAACCCTAATTCAGGCTGGTCCTGATAAACAGCGTCAGTTTGTATGTAAATGATTTCGCTTGTGTTTCTGGCCTCCCAAGGGGGTAAGTATCCCTGGAATGCTTTTAAACACGGGCCAGCTAGTTTCTTGCCAACAACCTCTCTATGTGAGAGCAAGGCAGTTTGCTTGCATCTGACAACAGAAAATGTCTTTTGCATTTAAAACAATGAAGTATTTTTGTGTGTGTATTTTTACAATGTCTGTCTGTTTTCTGTACTTGCTGCCTTTTGGGAATTCCTCTAACTCTACGGCTTCTTTCCTTCTCTCCCAGGCCACTGTATGTAACAGGGAGACCTTTTATATTCCAGGACAGGCTGGGAGTCTCTCACGGACTGTAGAGCGGTTGCCAGATAGTGCTTAGGAGAAGTTAGATGGAGAATACAGAATGAAGCAGTGGATCTGTCTTCAGGATTAAAAGAACCAGATGGGAAAGGTCTGGGAAGTCTGTGGATGGGACCTGGTATACGCATTGGGCAGCTGCCAGATTTGCCCTGGACTGACTGCTAGCCAGAAAGTCAGACTCCCACCTTAACCTCATTTTCTTCACCTGAACCAGCAATGATGGGATGGAGTATATGCGTTGTTTGGAGCTGGAACAGGCTCACCCCTCCCAGAATGGGTTCTTGCACAGGAGATGATGTTATCTGTGTCTCCCATGGTGGTGTGGTGGGCTGGGTGTGTCCTTGTACCAGGAATGCTTTTAAGAAACAACATAATATTTGAAATTATATCTGCTGGATGATACCTTATTTTCTCTAATGTTTATACAATGTACTATTGATAGGGCCTACATATTCGTAGTTATGTGTCACTATTCTCATATTTCAGAAGCAAAGAACTGAAAACCATGCTGTCCCGTACCAAGTAGGTGACATTCCTGTGCTGTTGCACCTGCCTAAGGGAGGAAACGCTGTGAAATTGCAGTCCGGGGCATGCGGAAGCTCCTTCACAGGGACCAGAAGGTGGCACAAATGCAAAAGTCACAGCGCTGACAGTAGGTTCCCCGGGATCGTCTGCAATAATGGAGTTTGCTTTCCCTTAAAAGCAACAGAAATACATATAAATAACAGGCAGCAAATGAATATTGGTGTCAGAATGAATCATGAAGGGGTTTAGGAGAACCCAGGAATACCAGATGACCGTAGGAAGTTAATGCTATGGTTTTCTGCATTACGCTAGAGGCTGTGGGGGAGACCCGAGGTGCTGCTTTCCCTTTAAGATTGATGCTTCATCCTGTGCCTGCGCAGGGACAGAGTAAATGCCACATCGGAAGCTCCAATTTGGCATTTATTAAATTCCGAGTCGCGGATTTTGTGACCTAGACACCTTTTAAAAGTAACCGTTATCTGTAACGTCCTACAGCAGCATCGCACAAGTAGGTGCTATCGCAGACCTGGGGCGTTCTGGCAGCGGTTAGCCTGGCACGCAGGTGCCAGCTCCCACAACCTTCCAACCCTGCCCATTTTTTGTGTCGTGTTCCAGGTGCTCAGTCACATCTTCCCCCCACACCCCGCGGCAGCCTGCTGCCGTTTCACCCCCGCAACCCCCTCACACACAGCCCGCCTCACACACAGACCCCCCCCCACCCCACATCGCAGCGCACACCGCCCCGCGGGGCAGCTCCCGCGCCAGCTGACCAATGGCAACCTCCAACACGTAGGGCCCGGCCCGCGCGGGCTGGCCGCGGCCAATAGCCGCGCCCCATGCAAAACAGCGCGCCGCGGGACGGCGATCATTGGCTCTGTCGCCAGGGCGGCGGGGCGCGCGCAGGGCCGCCGCCGGCGCCGCCGTAGCCGGCAGGCCGGGGGCCGACCTCCCCCGTTTCCCGGCCCCCGCCCCCCCATTTCCTCGGTACACGGCGTCTGCCGGCTCATTTCGCGAGAGCGGGCAAACCCGGGGTGGTGGTGGTGGTGCTGTGCGGGGAACATGGGCTACCGGCGTACCGTTTCGCTAGCTCATTCATTAACGGAGCCCCCGAGCTCCTGCAGCCCCGTCCCGCCCCGACAGCCGCAGCCGCTCCCGGGGGACGAGGGCAGGGCTGCGGGATCCACCGCCCCTGCCAACAAACCCGCCAACCGCGCGCTACTGCCACCGGCGCTCGGGCCACGCGTGTGTGCTGCCACCCGCGGCCTCTCCGCGCACCCCAGCGCTGCGGCGGTAAGCGCGCTGGTGCCTTACCGGGCGCTCAGGGTGGTACCGGGGGGGGGCGGGGCCCCACCGCCCTCCCTCCTCTCGCAGCCCCAGCCACCGGCGGGGCGGTTGGGGGTCCGGCCCCTAATGATCGGCTGCTAAGCAACAACACCCCCCCCCCCCCCCCCCCCCCCCCCACACACACACCCCGCCCCACGCGCGGGGAATCTCCCCCACGCGCGCCCCCGGGGGCGATGGGCGCGCATGCGCGGGGCCCAGCGCGGGCCGGCGGGGCTGCGGCGGGGGCGCCCGGAGAATGTCGGGCGCGCGGGGCGGTGGGCGCGTGGCCCCTCCCCTCGGCGGGCGCGCGGCGGCGGCGGGAGGAGGAGGAGGAGGAGGGGGAGGCGGCGAGGAGGCGGCGCCTGTGTCGGCGCTGGAGGTTGTGTCCTTCCTGGGGAAGCTGCTGTGCGCAGTCGCGGCGCTGAAGGCGGCTCTGTACCTGCTCCGCAGAGTGTGCCTCGCGATGGCCTGGAAATCGGGCGGCGCCAGCCACTCCGAGCTCATCCACAACCTGCGCAGTGAGTCCGGGCCGCCGGGCGCCCGTTACCGGCCGAGCGCCCTCCCCGCTCCCGAGGCGCCCGCCCCGCCGCCGGCTGTCAAGGAGCGGCGCCGGCGGGGGGAGGAGGCGAAGGCGGCGCCGGGCCGGGGTTGCGGGGGGGGGGGGGGGGGGTGTGTCTGGGTGTCCGTGCGGGCGCCTCCCGGGAGGACGCGACGAGCGCCGCTGTCCCGCAGGCGGGCGGAGGGCGGCGGCCGCTGGCGCAGGGCGGGCCGGGCTGTTGTTGCGGGAGGAGATGCGGCGGGAGGGGCGGCGCCGATGGCGGTCCCGGAGGGGGAAGCGCCGTGCGGCGGCCGCGGCTGTTGTCACACCCCCCCCCCCCCCCGGCCCCGTTCCCGTTCACGCCGTCTCGTCTCCGTCTGCCCGTCGCGCTCAGCGCGAGCCGAGGCGGGGCCGCGGCGGCGGCGGGTCCCGGGGGGCCCCGTGAGCCGCAGCGAGCGGAGCGGGCTCGGCGCCCTCCGGGGCTTCCCTCCGGCCGCCCGAGGCCCCTGGCAGGGCGGGTCAGGGGAACGGCGGTGTCGGCGGGCGCGCAGCCACCGTCCCTCGGTCTTTCAGGCCCCGGCTGAACGCGGCGGGAGCTGCCCGGGTTTGGGGAAGGCGCCGACGAGGCCGACGTTGTTTTTGTTGGGTGAAAGGGGGTGTGTGGCCGCCGCGACCGCTCGTGAGGTCCGAAACGCTCGCTTTTGGCCCCGGCCCCGAATTGCTCCTTTCGGAGGGGTGGGCTGGGACCGCTGGGAGGGGAGAGGAGCGGAGCTCCCGGGGGTTACGGTCTCGTGTTGTCGCCCGCCTTTTCGGTGGCTGCCGGGGGCTTCGCGTTCCTTGCCCTTACCAGAGGTTTGTGTAGTTCCTCCCTGCTGAATGTGGAAGGTGTTGGACAGGTGCTCTTCACTGATGGTCTCCGGTACATCTTGAAATCGTGCAGGGTCGTTTACATGTGATCCAGTCTGAGAGGACAGGGTGATAACTCTCTCTCTGTGCAGAGCTTCCATTTTTCATATTAGTGTCGGATTAATTTGTGTTAGATACACTTGTAGTGTTTCTTTTCTTTACTCCTGGTCTTTCCCTTCCTCTCCTCAAGTCCGTGTCCTAGACATAAAAGGATGTAGATCTGGAGCCTGTATTGTGGCAGTTATCTCCCAGTTTTAGTGATGCTGCAAGGCCACAGACAACTTCACCTGTTCGTCGTCCTCGTTATTTTGGAGACATGGGAGAATTATCCTTGGTGTTCTCTCCATTCTGTTTATGTTAGATCCTCTGATCCTGTGGTCTTTTCTGGCATTTTCTTTTGCCACTCTTTCGAGAACTCTTCCCTCCATTAGAGCAATGTATGCTGAAGTGACTTTCAGTTTCACCGTAAAAACTGCCTGTTTAACAAATAGATAATAACTTCTCTACTTACAAGAGTTGTAGTGCTTTTTTGTTTGTTTGTTTTTGTTTTGCAGCTCTAAGGCCTAGAAATAGTGTTTTAGTGAAATTCTGTTCCCTTACACAGCAGGGGAAAACTTTCTGATGTAAAAATGAATGTCAAGCTCCAAAATGTATCCAAATAGTGATTACTGCCAGAATTGTCTATGGCTCTCAGAACCTGAAGGCAAAACTGATTTCTTTGTTGAAGAAAACAATGACAGCATTTTTCAACACATGGAAACTGTTTAGGGCTTTGCAAATAATGATAATAGAAAAGCTAAAAAACATTATAGTTAATACACAACACTAGTAGTATAAGAAGAGGAAAATAAACCAGAAATGTTTAATATTGTAATCTCAAAATATGCAGTGATGGTAATTACCTGCAAAATTATAGTCTGTTATTTCCCCCTCTCTGTTTTGCGTATGTATGCCAAAATATTTTGAGGGATGTTAAATAGTGGACTGCAAATAAAGTTTTGCAGAGGCACAGAGGCTTTTGATCTTGCAGCAGGGATTGTATTGTTGACCTCAGTGGGACTCCAGTGATGGCGCAGGCTTTGTCAGTGCAGAGCAGTTGCAGGATTAAGAACGTAACTTTGAAGTAAGAGTTCTTCAGGTAAGACGGTACTTTGTTGCTAAAGTTGGGAACAAGTTTTGGAAGGAAGTACCCTTTTATAGGATACATAATTCTCTCAAATATATTTTTAACAAACTTAAAAACCGTTGGTTACCGAAAGACTAAAATGTTCTAGAGAATTCCTTTTGGGAAGTAGATCCCTCAATGTATTTAAATTTCTTTCTCTAAAGACAGCTTAGCGTAACATTTCTATCACTATTATGCTAGAAGTAAGAATGCAAAGCAGATGAGGTTAATTTGATGTTGTCTGAGTGTTTATCTTGTGTGTAACTTAGTAACTGTGTAATTTAGTGTGTAATTTGCATAATTTAAAGGAATAACACAGGTTATAGTGACACAGTATGTTTTCTTCTGCAGCAAGGCCTGGTTGAGAGATTCTTGCTCCTGCCCTTACGCCACAAGTCTTCTCTTCACTGTGCTTATAGAACTGCTTGTGAGGGAGGCTGTGTTATAAGACTGAGTCACTTTGTCATTACTCTCCTTGCCAAACATAGAGGCTTAAACTCCTCAATATCTGTAAGCTGTTGTACTATTATGTTTAGAGAAGCAGTGAACTTTGTTATGGGTGTAAGTGGCCTGGGGAGAATGGGAACTTCTTAAACTGGTTTTGCTTCCAAATAAAAACATCAGTGGAAAACTCTTGTAGGCTACCTATTCTTTTCCTTTAAAACAGCTATAAATATTATTCTTCATTTTAAGTTGTTATTGACAGTTACTAACACTTCTTTTTTGTGGCCATAAAGTGCTCTAATTTCATGAAACTATATTAACATATGCTCATCGCTCATTTTACTGTTGCTTTAACCATAGAATTAACTTTTCTTTAAGGGTAAGGATCATTGTGTTAGAGCAGTGGTAAGTCCTTTTGTGTATTTGCATGCGGATTTAGGCAAGTATTCTTTACAAGCCTTATCTTTGCTTTCAAGTCCTGAAAGGGACAAACTAATAAAG